GCAGTGGTAACTGGGGTAGGCCGTGGACGTCACAAGACATTATACATATCATTATATTATTTTAAGTAGATTAAAGAGAAACCTGTGTAATATCTGCAGAGCAGAACTTTCCTTCCACAGCAATTATTTTTAGTTAGCATATAGCTAAAATCTAACCATGGTTATACAATAACAGCTGCATTCTGACGTGATAAGCTGTATGTTTTATATTCAATTAACGTATGATCCGATTAGTCGACTAATCGAATAAATAATCKGTGATTAATCGATTATTAAAATAATCGTTTGTGGCAGCCCTAGCTAGCAGACGAGCTGTTAGCGCGTCAGAATTAAACTAAACCTTCAAAGTGGAGACGTTGAAAAATCTATCAGCAACAGGTAAGATATTAGCAGCTCTTAATCTTCCCACAGGACACCTGTTAGACACACCCACATGTCTGTTTCCAGATGTGACTTGTGAACATCAGCAGCACTTCCTTTCACATCCATCTGTAACACCGCCGGTCCCAACACTCTGAAATGTCCCCATCTTTGGCTGTCAAGGAAACAGCTGAAAACTGTTTTCCTGCTGAACCCTTTCGTGTGCCGACGATGCCGTAACACACCGCTTCTCAAGACAAAGATGTGACACGACTCAGGGAGGTCTGGTTCTCACATTCGTGCTGCTTTTCGTGATTCACGGCACGCCACGACGCTGCGTACCGTGACTCAGAGAAATGCTGGACTTGTTGCTGATGGTGGACAGCGCCTGCTAATATTAACCACRTACACCTGCCATCTCAGCCTGCAGCAGACGGATCACACACAGCTTCATCACCATGTTAATCACGTCAGCTGGTCGGTAACGAGCTTCTGATTCTTCGCACACGACCACGCTCCTCCTCCCGCAGAGAAAAGGCCTCACCTGAGCTCAGTTTGTTGTGAAAATCTAGATCAGTGCAGAGACCGACTGAACTCTGTGTGTCAAAGAGAGAGAGAGAGAGAGAGAGAGAGAGAGAGAGTGTGTGTGTGTGTGTGTCAGAGAGAGTGTGTGTGTGTGTTTGCGTGCAGGCGAGGTAAACACTGCTGCCGCAAGCAATGCGAGGGCCGAGCACATGGCCTCGCAGAGACAGGGAGAGGGAGGGGCGGGGGATGGAAGGGGAGCGAGACAAGCTGTACTCACTGACTCACTTCTGCAGGGGTTTCTTAAAGGGCCAGCAGCACCACAGGCCACGTTGCAGACACGCTGCCGAGTCCCGGCTGACTCACCGGGCCTCTACATGCAGGTCTTGTGACACTTTGGTAACCAGAAGCCCTTGTTTTGCTTTGCCTTCTGGCTGGAGCGGAGAATTTCACGTGGTCCCCGACTTAAACAATTAGAGACTTGTTTGTTGCRGGAACAAACTACTTTGTAATTCATTCTTTATGTGCGAGGTTTTCTAAGGCACAGCTGACCTAATTAYCTCATCTTAGTTAAGAAGCAAGTGGTCAAAAGGTCCAGAACACTGAAGCACTTATGTGTTGTTATTATACTCAAAGGAGCTGATGAAAATGGTGTTTATAATATAAGAGCAACTGAAGCTGAAGGAGTACAGCGTGTCCACAAATTCAAGATTTTCTAAAAATAGCAACAACTCCAGGTGCATTCTTGTGTTTTAACACATTTCAGGTCGGCACTCTGAATGGAGCGGTGGAGGAGCGAGTTGGGTCGGGGAGTGGAGTAAGCTGAGCCGTGTGTTTGTGGCTCCCTCCCTGCTGCTGGCGGCGCAGCCAGTCCTGCCTGTTGCAGAGCGGGGTGGGGGCCCAGCACGGGGGAGTGACGTCTCGCGGCTCAGGCTAGCCATGTGCTCGCTGCTCATGTGGCCTTAAAAGAATAAAAAAAAAAAAAAGAAAAAGCTGGGAGGGGGCAGGGTGGAGGAGGAGGAGAGGAAGCACGCTAATGCATCGGCTTACTTCACTGGGCTCAGCTTTCTACACTGCAGGCTCACGGGAAAAACGTTCGGGAAGCAAAACTGCATCAGATATGAAAATAAAAATAGACATCTGTGTAGTTTCATCAAAAAAAAAAACACTACGGTCATGACGCAGTGGCCTGACTGCACGCTCTAACTTTCCTCATAGCTCTGAGTCATTCAGAGATAAGATGGAATGAGGAAGTTGAAGCTGCTCACCAAGTTTATAACTGGGTTCAGCCGCTGCAGACGAACATTCAGCAGAAATTAAACGAGTCGCAGAGTCTAAAGCCTCTTAGCTTGTGTCTCTGCTCAGAGCTGCATGTTTTTGTGTGGGCACCGCTCCACCCCTGTCCTCGTCCTCCCTTTTGGCAGCCGAGGAGGACGGGTGGGGGGCACACGCAGGCAGGACACACGTCTGTATCAGCTGTGTGGAAATATGACAGAGTGTGTGTTTCTATCAGATCCTGTCGCTCCCTTCAACCACAGTCAGTGGAAAAAAATTAATAAAATCACACAAAACAACACAGAAAATAAAAGGCAGCAAGACTTTTATGGCCCATAATACCTGGACTGCTTATAGTCCGCAGCTAAACAGAGTCTTAAGAAGGAAAAGGCGAGTAGGTAAATGTGCCAGAGGGAGAAAAAACAACAACAGGTTGCCAAATCCCACAGAAAGGGACGTTTAGAGGGACACTGTCCTGGTTTCCCTCAGAGTGCACGAGCAGGGAGGGTGAACCGGACCGCTGCTTCTCCGAGYGTCACGTCAGCAGCACATCGTCCTCTTCCATTTTTAATGTTTGAAAAACTGGGCCAGAGGTGGACCTTTGCACCGGCGCTTTGCAGCGACAGCCTGACTCCGGCACATGATGAGTCACATGCCGACTGTTCCAAACACAAATGTCGAGAAAACTCAAAACGAAGCAGGCAGACGAAGCAACAGGATGCTTTGGGTACAAATCAGAGAGCGGAGCTGAAACCRGTTGTCTCGTTCTGGTCTTGCTGCTCTGACAGGAATGACGGCCCGCGTCACGTTGGAAGCTTTTGTTCCGCCCCTCCCTCTGGTTCTGACGCTGCACTTTAAAAGCCAACTCTTAAGGACGTGGACATTACGCTGTTTTGTTGCAATCCAAAGCACAACTACACAACTACACAACTCCTAGCAGAGTACACAAACACGTGATGAGCATTGCGCATGGGCTGTTTGAAAAACGTCAGTAAATATTTACGACATATTTTTAACTGCGTGCCGGAGGTGAAGCTCGGAACAAACCTTTAAAAAAACACACATCTGTGGGAAAATAAAAACTAAAACCGGCACACGGCTACAGCTTTGCCCCTCACCTGAATGTATCTCAGAGCACTTCTCAGCACGCTCAGGTTGGAGGTCTTCTTCTCGTCGATGTTCGGGACGTTCTTCTTCAGCGTCTCGAAGCACTCCTTCAGGTGGGCCCGTCTGGCAGAGACAGTGAGCATCGTTTTTATTGCTGACAGAGACCTCTACGTGAGGTAACTGCTGCAGCTTCTCTGAAACAGACGAGTTCAGCTCACCTGTTCTTCTCCAGCTTGTTGTGCACTTCTCTCGTGCCCGCCCTGCAGGAGCACAGCAACACGTTTAGTGTTTACCAGGAGCCGACGAGAGAACAATCAAAATCAAAGTGTCTTCTCTATTACTAACAACATTTTGATGTTTGACCCATTCAAAGACTATTTTTAATGCTGTGACCAAATAATGTTTACTTGAGTTAATGTATTTGAGTTTTAAGCTTTGTAATATCAATAATCATGTATAAATACAACTTAATTACAATTAAATTGCACCTCATCAACCCTAAAGCCTGTGGAGATACTTTAGAAACAGACATTAAACATCTAAGATGTAAAAAAATCTGTAGGATATTATTGTAAGATTTTAACAAAACATCATTTGTTGAGTTGGGAAAATATGGTCCCATTTGTAAATATTTGTCTGTTTTTTTTAAATTCTGCATGGTCTGGCACCTCCCCCACTTGAAGCACTCGTCACGTTGTTGTCGGTAAGGACCACCAGAGCTCCTGGAAGAGGAGATCTTGCTGTACCTCTTAGACGAAGTACTTTTGGTCAGAATTATTTTTCAGTAAAAGCTTCACTTGACTGGAATAAAACACCAGAAAGCATAAGAACCAGTAGATCCTTCAAATTATTCTCAAATGCCTTAAAATCATGGCTTCTGGATAATAAACTGTGTAGACACTGAGTATGGGATTCTTTTATCCATTTTGTATTTTTAATGTGTTGCCTTGAATTGTTGTTGTTGTGCTAAATGGCTTTTTATTATTTTTAATCATGCTTTTTGTCATATTTTTAGGATTTTTTTAAATGAAAGTAACTTGTTGATTTATATGTATTGTATTTATATCCATAGGACCTTSAGGGACTACAGATGAAAACTTGCCTCCATGGCTAATTCTGGCATTTTCCGTAATATGCACTGTCCCTTCTAAAATAAACAAACAACAAAACAATCATATTGGACATTTTATCAGAAACTAACCAACAGAAAACATAGTTTTGCGCAGCGTGTTTCAGGTGTGCTAAGGTAGCTGGTCCGGACTCACCCTCCAGGTCTCTTCTTGTCCAGCTGGCGGCTGTCGTCAGTAGGACTCCCTCGGTTGACGGGGCCGTTCTGAAGCGGAGCGGGCTGAAGCACGGGGCCCGGATGGGGCAGCAAGGTGTGGTGCTGAGAGATGGAGACGACCGAACCGGGATAGCAGTGAACCAGCTGACGGGGCGTCTGCTGCGGCGCCGGTTTGGCGTTGCTGCTTGGGTCGGTGAGCGGCGAGGGATGGTGGGGGTTCTGTCTGTGGTGGGCGGCCGCTTTAGAGGCCGGGCGGTCGGTTCTGAGCGGCGGGGCGCACAGCGCGGCTGCGGCGCTCTGCTCCTGAGGGGAGTGAAGGTCTCTCTGAGGCGAGGCCAGCGACGGAGCGGCTGGGGGTGAAAGCGTGGCCACGGGCTGGGGGGGTGGAGCGGTGGGGTTGGGGGTGACAACGGGGATGGGGACGACAGCGGCGGGAACAGAAGGGGGAGGCAGGGAGGACGGTACGGGTGCCGGGTGGGGCTCAGCACGAAGCTCTTCTGCTTTGGGAACATTGTTAATGTGGACTATTGGGTTATAGTTCCCATCAGAGTAAATATACTCCGTCTTCTGCTGCAGACGAAGCTTCTCCTTCAGTTCATCCTCTGTGCAAGGAAACAAAACACAGTTCAGGCTTACAGCAGAAATAAAAACAATTTGGGAGTAAGACAAAAACAAGGTGCATTTCCAATCACAAGCAAGTATGGTAAATCAGAACACTGTTAAATGTGTATAATTTGAAGTTATGTGTTTTTGCTTGAGGCAGCATCACAAAGTCTCACCTATAACCTGAAGATGATTTCAGAGACAAATAAGGCTGCAGCTTATTGAGAGACAGAAGTAATACTGAATAAAGACTCAGATGATGACAAAGATTGATTCTGCATTTATCCTGATGCCTTTGTCTGAATTTATAAAGTTGAAAACGTCTTTAAGTTACAAAAATGAAGTGTGGATTATTACTCAACAACACTGAAAAAATGTGTTTGTTTTAATGTACGAGTATCAAGCAGTCATTAACTCGACTCAGTAGTCTTTAAGAGTGAGTAAAATCTACACCAATTGTATTTTTTAGCAGATAAACAGTTCAAAGTTCAGAAACATTGAAACCCTGCACCTCCAATCTAACACAAATCATTTAATTGAACTATTACAGCTAAAATAATACAAGTAAACAAGCTGTTCTGTTGAGCAGAGCGTTGTTTATGTAAACTGTTCCTTCAAATAAAAATTTAAAAAGCCACACTGCCCTAAATGGATAAAACAAACATTTAGTAATATCACACATTATGAGACAAAACTTTTTTTATAAGAAATGCAAAGATGAAGCTCTACTAACTGTAGGCCCTCTAACGTTAAACACATCGCTTCATAAAAAACTGTTTTATGTTGGTATGAGGACAGAAATCCACAGCCACCCTGTTTATGTTAAAAATCACTTAAACCAGGGGGATTGTATAACTGCAGCAGAGACACTGGCCTACTTTAATCCACACAGTGACCTGCTCCACTGCAGCAGAGAGGAGCAGCAGACAGGAGCGCTCACTCTGAYACTTTCCTGAGAATTCCTCGAGAGCTTTTGGACAAAAAGATGACATGATGTCTATTTTATGAAGACATGCAAAATATAAAATAGCACTAAACGAGTAAAGCAGCAGAGTGAGTGTTTTTACTTTAAATCTAAGAATTCACATTGGTCTGTACGCACAGGGACATCATTTACTTGGACAGAAATGTGGTCTGAGGGAGAGGGACGCCTACACTGGTGTCCGAAGTGCAGTTTCACTTCCTTCGTTTCACAAAAACAAAGTGCTGCGTTTTCACTTGCCTTTCAAATAGAACAACCCCAAAACTATTTCAAATTACTTCTGGATCAGGAAGAGATTTCTATTTCTATTTTTTTCTCTCTGTTAGAAAGGAAAATGTCTCTTGTTCAACATCCCTCCGTCAACTATGAAGCTCCACAAGGATTTATCCTGGGTCCAGTTTTAATGCTGTATTTATTGGTATGCAGACGATATTCAGATTAACGCAACCCTGCGTTTATTCTCATCCATTTTTTTCACCTGTTTGTAGCTTTCCATGTCATAGGGGTTAGTCATTCACACTCTCACTCACACCATAGGGACAATTTAGAGTTAACAATATAACATGCACATTTTTGGTCTGTGGGAGGAAATCCACAGGTAGAACTCGTAAACATCCCACAGAAAGCCCCAGAAGTGAAACTGTGACCTTGCTGTGAGGTCACAGCTCTAACCATTATCATGTGTCTTTAGACGGCTTAAATAAATAAATGACATAATAACAGATATGATTGCACATGAACAAAAAAAAAACATTAAATAAAAATCAGGTTTTGGCCACTTTTTTGCCTTTAGTGTGGATGTACTGTTGGAAATCTGTAAGCAAACTAAATGTGTTCATAAGAAATAACACACCTCATATACTCTATATAATAGATATATCTATATC